ATTTCCAATGATGCTGATATTTGTGAAAACAACACCATTACCTTAAATTTGGGAAGTTTATTCATTAATTTTGGTGGTAAGTGCCGGTTCATTTGGAAAATACCTAAATGGCAGAAGTGACATCAAGCAGCAATTTAGCTCCACAAATGGACCATACAATTACATATGCATTCATAACTTGCTATTAGGACACAGTGGTCACACAAGAACAGAGGATTTCAATGTTTCAGTTCATTTCCACAAATGGACCACATAGCCTTCCACTCTTTATCTCAGTGGCAACTTATATTACAAATTCCCCATTATGAATAACAAATACACATACAGTGCACAGACAAGAGACAACATAAAAATACCATGCATCCTGCCTTTTAGCCTACTTGAAGAATAAGCATTTAGAAATCAATAATATAAATGAAAGTAAGAAAAAGACAGCCGGCATGAAATTAGGCATTCGGCTGGATCTCACACTGCACAACAACAGCACAATCATTCAGAGGTCCTAACTGTAATGATGCTCTTTGTATTCAAGCCCCGTCTGCTTGAGGGATCCATTCCCATAGTCTTCATCAAAGTGGCAGTGTTCCCCAGTGACCAACTCTACCCCGTTTCTAGAATTTTCATCACAGCAATTCAAAACGCCCAAGTGAAGAACTGAAAATAACAATAAGGACACCTTTACCATAAAGAAATACAATATACGTCAATAAAAACACAAACATCATACTGAATTCTTATTAGCGATTATTAACTGTTTTATTGAAGCCTCTCTCTTAGTAATGTGAACTCTGTACCTGTCATGTTGTACTTTTAAACAAGCATGACAGCTGCAAGAATGTGCAGAATTTAAAGTAAAAATCTGTCAGTCCTGACACGTGTATAAAACAGTGTGGTTTGTTCTAAAAATGCCTGTAGGTGAAAATGAGAACCTTAGGTTCAACCATTTTGAAAGAAATGGTTTTAATACAAATTAATGTGTCTGTATAAATCAGACAAAAATGCATCAATTGTGTCACTGTCAAGTACTGTGACCTGATCTGGTCATAGGTTGTGCATGACAGAAGAACGGGTGGCATCCCATTTGGATGTGGTTACATGATTTCATCTGATTTGAGGTGCTTAAAATTAGCGGGGAAATCCTAGAGTGACAGGCCTCCGAGAGGACGTCATGATATTCTGTGTGGATTGAGTTACTGTACTGCTGAAATGGGTTTTGTTCATTTTCCATCACCAAGTGGGGAAAAAATCCTCATTTGGGTATAGAAATGGAGAATGTGGAAGTAATATCATGTAAGAAGACAGAAACCATTCTATGTGCACTATAATGTAAAGTAGCACAAGTTGTGTGGTCTGAGCTGTGCATTATTCATAGATGAATTTCAAAGGCAGTACTGTGTTGTATTACGCAGTTGTGACCTGAAAGACCCTTTTGCAAACGAAAAGCAAGCACACAGTAAATATAATTCCTCTTTGTCTTCATCTTCCTCTGAGGACAACTGATGAATACACAACTATTACGAAGGGTGAAAATATTCACTTATGCTCAAGAAGGAAACACAATGCATTAAGAGCTGCGGGTGTGAATCTTTTGAACAGGGTGATCATGAGTGATTTTGTTTGTTTGCCTTTCAGAAGCTATGGAAGATACTTAAATGTTTCAGAGAAGACAAAATATGTACAATATACCCTGATCATCCTGTTCAAAATGTATGTGTTTGGCTATTCTTGTGATTGATGAACACGTGAAAAAACAGATATGAAGTCACTTTTGATTTCAGATTTGAGACAAATGTATTATTATACAATATACTTATTGTCCCCTTAGGGAATTTTTTCTTGGGCTTAGTGTATGCTCCAAGGACATAAATATATACATAAATAAATAAATTGCATGTGTCTCACGTAAACAGTGTCATACAGGAGTACAGAACCTGCAGACAGGCATCATATTACACAGCTGAAAGGACACTATTATGACCAGGGACTTATGTGAGGATCCTGTTCGTGGACTTCAGCTCGGCCTTTAACACCATCATCCCAAACCTCCTCCTGCCCAAACTAACTCAGCTCTCCGTGCCCACCTCCGTCTGTCAGTGGATCAACAGCTTCCTAACAGACAGGCAGCAGCTAGTGAGGCTGGGAAAATACACATCCAGCACCCATATAATCAGCACTCGAGCTCCTCAGGGTTGTGGTCTCTCCCCACTGCTCTTCTCCCTGTACACCAACGACTGCACCTCTAAAGACCCCTCTGTCAAGCTCCTGAAGTTTGCAGACGACACCACACTCATCGGCCTCATTCAGGACAGTGACGAGTCTGCTTACAGACAGGAGGTCGAGCAGCTGGCTGTCTGGTGCAGTCTCAACAACCTGGACCTCAACACGTTCAAAACCGTGCAGATGACTGTGGACTTCAGGAGAAACCCCTCTGCACTCCCCCCACTCACCATCATGGACAGCACTGTGACTGTAGTGGAGTCATTCAGGTTCCTGGGCATCACAATCTCTCAGGACCTGAAGTGGGACACTCACATTGACTCCATTGTGAAAAAGGCCCAGCAGAGGTTGTATTTCCTTCGCCAGCTGAGGAAGTTCAACCTGCCACAGGAGCTGCTGAAACAGTTCTACTCCGCCATTATTGAATCTGTCCTCTGCACTTCAATAACTGTCTGGTTCAGCTCAGCTACCAAATCTGACCTCAGAAGACTACAGAGGGTAGTCCGGACTGCTGAGCGAATCATTGGTACAACCCTCCCTTCTCTCCAAGAACTGTACTTATCCAGAGTGAGCAAAAGGGCTGGCAGAATCACTCTGGACCCCTCACATCCAGCACACTCCCTCTTTGAACTGTTGCCATCTGGTCGACGCTACAGAGCACTGAGCACCAGAACGGCCAGACACAGGAACAGTTTCTTCCCTCAGGCCATCCATCTCATGAACACTTGACAATAACTGTGGAACACACTATTTATTCACTCATTTATTACACACTTATTTATCTAACACACATACTCAGTCTACATTTCAATTTGCACATAATATACCTGTACATACAACTGTCTATTGTTATATACCTGTACATACAATTGCCGATTTGTATATTTTTTATTCCTTATTTACTTGTTCTATTTTTTTATTTTTTGTTTTTTTTATTATCTGTGTTTTTTTGCTCTGTCACTGTCATTCTGTTACACTGTGGAAGCTTCTGTCACGAAAACAAATTCCTCGTATGTGTAAACATACCTGGCAATAAAGCTCATTCTGATTCTGATTATTGCACAAGTATTCACAATGTAAAATGTGCTGCAGCGCAATTTCCCAAAACAATAACTGTGATATTTGGGAAGAAGCAACAGAAACAGTTTTGCAGAAATGCCTTCCTTCTGTCATATTATCATGAGCAATGATGCCTTGAAGGTGTATTGATTTGGTCATAGTGCGTATCCAATTGAAAAAAAAATGCTCTTGGGAAATATATTCCAATACATTTCTAAATTATGCTTCTAAAAGGAAAATTGCCCATGTGCAAAACGTGATGCAAAAAGAAAATACCATCTGAACACGAAGGCCTCATTCTGAATAATTTACCAGGTTAATATTCTAGATTTGTGCGTGTGCGTATCAGGTTCAGCATTAGTAACGCACATGAAAAGATCTTTGTAGGAATGTACGTGTTGAAAGAAACACTGCACGTTCTCTCTCTCTTGCAGTGAAGTGTGAGCCTTTACCACGATGTGGAGGAGGAGCCTTCATATGTGAGGGGGTTCTATTTTATTAAATATTTTTATTAATTTAATTGTAATTATTAAAACAATTTCTTCATCACTATTATTGGTTTGTAATATTGGTGTTTTAGTAGCATATCTAAATATCCTTAAAACAAGAACAACTTACTTGAGAAGCTAAATTGAATATATTAAGAATATATCTGGAATTAAGATTTTCTTCACCCCAATTTTTTCTTATCCATCAATTTTTTTGAGGATTTAAAACTACCAAAAAGTTATAAATAAAATGAATGAAAACAAGTCTTATTTCACATAATTTTGCTTCTCAAATAAATGTATCCTGTTTTTTCAGTGTAATCTGATTCGCCATGTAAATCACATGTAAACAGAAATTAACTAGTTTGAAATGGAAATAATCTCCATTAAAAGTCAAATCAATCAAAAACATATTTATGGTGCTATAAAAATATTATTTACTGGGAAGATGTTTCCATTCCTTGATAACCATATATTATTCAATCTGCATGTGCTTGTTAATGTAAAATATAAAAAGTGAGGTCTTTTTTTTTCTCTTCCTATAGCCTGATCAATATTTGAAGTGGAGAAATCGATGCTGACCGCTTTTGAGCAACACCTACTGGGACACACTGTGAAATTAACTGCTGGTAGGCAATTGCATTCCTTCTCATTTGGCAGGTCAAACCAACAACAAAATGCTAATATAATCCAATGTATGGCACTCTATTCAGTCCATAATATCATGACACATTGATTCATCTATATTTTTATCCCCAAACAACTCTCCTCAAAGATCCCTGATGAATACAAAGTAAATTTGTCTATTTTCATTTTGATTAGTTCTCAACCATATGGAGACATGCTCTGGTGTCAAGACAAAATGTTTTTTGTTTTTTTTTGCCCTTGGAGAGGTTATGATAGCTTTCTGAAATTGATTTTAGTCTTGACTCCATCTCATTCTTCAATCCTCTTTGTACTTGCACCAGCTTTCATGATCTTTTGTAATCACAATGTATCACAATATTAACACCAGGTTAATATTCTAGATTTGTGCGTGTGCGTATCAGGTTCAGCATTAGTAACGCACATGAAAAGATCTTTGTAGGAATGTACGTGTTGAAAGAAACACTGCACGTTCTCTCTCTCTTGCAGTGAAGTGTGAGCCTTTACCACGATGTGGAGGAGGAGCCTTCATATGTGAGGGGGAGTGAGGGAGGGAATGCACAGAGAAATGGAGAAGCGGAATTAGAGGAGATGAGGGCTGTTCAAGTACTGTTGCATTCTGCAAGCACCACTAGCTTGCCTGGACACCAGAAGCTTCTCAGAATTACAATGAATCTAAATCGTGGATATTCAGTCATTGTTCATCCCATAAACTGGTAAGTAAAAGCAACTGATTGAAATTATCATACTGTCATCAGATTCTAGGATGTTATGTTGGCTCTCTGGCTTTTACAGTTAGTACAGATTGACATTTTCCATAACATCTCAAGAATGATGTTTAATGTGTATGTATGTATGTATGTATATTTCTATGATGGATAACTTATCTTTATTTATGTAAATATATCTTTAGTCAGCAAAATGCATTTATATCATGCATATTTTACATGTAATGCATCTGTTACGTTGTTTCTTTCTTAAATGTGTCTGTATACTCTATTTAGTATGCTTTATTTAGAATATTTATACATGCTGCATTTTGCATGCTTCCTTTACAACGTTTTCCAATATATTTTGATGTTATTTTATGTCTTTGTTAGAATTAGTCTCTTTTGAAATCTTAGTTCTGAGATGCTTTTATTTGGATCAAGAGTTCATGAAAGTTTGACTTAATTTTAAATGGCAAATGAGTTTGAAAGGGGGTTAGAGAGACATGTGGTGCTGTGTGAGGAGGTTCGGTGTGCCATTTGTCAAGTGACCAAATGGATGCACTCCGTGACTGTAATCAAAGGGATCAGTTTAACAGCCCTGCTTCTTGAAGGACACTTCATGTTATATTCACTGGCAGCTAGTTAGCTGGCTTCACATGAAGGACAGTCAAGTGTGTTTACAAAGGGAATTGCTCAAAGAAGCCAAAACAAAGAAAGATATGCCAAAAGCCAGAAAAGCGAAAACATTTGTCCTGCCAGCACCGACTTAAGTGGTGTCTCTGTCTCAAAGCTTTAACACATATACTGGTGTAGTATCAACCTAATCCCCGAAATTGATTCTACAAAAGAGTCTGTACAGTCTGATCAATAAGGCTGTAGCATAATTCACTGATTCAGAGCTGATATGCTTCAGAGCCTTTAAAAAGCATTGGCAGTTTTCAAGTCATTTCTGAAAACACCTCTATGTTAAGAGAGTAAGATGACAAAAGAGAGGCTTTTAAAGCTACTGTTTAGAAGTAATTGATTGCTTCTGAAATTACTTAACCTCAAAAAAAAAAAATGCTGAGTTATTTTTTTAACCCAATCGTTGGGTTGAGCCTGCTGGGTCACATGCTATGTTATTTTTTCCAGTGTTGGGTAGTTTTTGTGTTACCCAGCTGTTGGGTTAGTGGCTGGGTCAATCACACTGACCGCTGAAACTATATTTCTGTGTGTGATTTTTAATTTCCAACCTATTTTTGGTTCATTTTAAGCCAGCAATAGTAATTTTTAAATAATAGTTGAGATAAATAAACGACCCACCATGTTGGGTCAAACATTTAACCCAACCAGCTGGGCTAAAACAACCCAGCACTGGGTTGCCAAAACAACCCAAAATGGGTTGTTTTAACCCAGCATTTTTTTAGAGTGCTATAGTTAATACACATCAACAAACCACTGTAATTTGTTTAAAGGAAACCCATCTGTTGAAATGTCTTTCTTTTTTTCTCCTCTTTCTCTCCTCTCCTTCTGTCCCTTTCCGATTTCCTCTTTACTCTCAATTACCTATAAAGTCTTTGCAGAAGCAAGAAAATAACTGTGATGAATGTGTCCAGGAGAGCTTTACCTCTCAGAATAAACAGCTTCCTATTCATTTACCACCATAAAGGTCTTGCTAAATAATGAGTCATGCTCTGTTGCTGCTAGAGAAAAAAAAATCTCAGCAATATCATCTGATCGTGCAGTTTACGTTGTTTCATCAAACAAAATAATCAGTAAGTGTAATGAAATTGTTTTAGAAGAGTGACAGAAGATCAGCATTTTAATTATATCATGATGAATCCCTGACAGCCAATTATAGCCTAATAGGACCTGTCCACATTTCTGCATGAAGAGGATTAGTCACCTATATTCTGCATACTCCTTTTTTTATTGTCACCTGGATGTATCACACTTTTAGCATGCACTTTGTCAGCCTATTAGGGAGCACAGCACTACATTTGCTAGCCCAATTGCCTGAAAGCTCTTGCTTTTCCTCACTTAACAAATGCTCTTTGAAAAGCCTTTGCCATTTCAGATTTGCATTATTTATCTAGATGTCACCTATTGCATTACATATTAAATATCATGTTTAAAGAAGTTATATAATTATATAATTTCTATTTTATTAAATATTTTTATTAATTTAATTGTAATTATTAAAACAATTTCTTCATCACTATTATTGGTTTGTAATATTGGTGTTTTAGTAGCATATCTAAATATCCTTAAAACAAGAACAACTTACTTGAGAAGCTAAATTGAATATATTAAGAATATATCTGGAATTAAGATTTTCTTCACCCCAATTTTTTCTTATCCATCAATTTTTTTCAGGATTTAAAACTACCAAAAAGTTATAAATAAAATGAATGAAAACAAGTCTTATTTCACATAATTTTGCTTCTCAAATAAATGTATCCTGTTTTTTCAGTGTAATCTGATTCGCCATGTAAATCACATGTAAACAGAAATTAACTAGTTTGAAATGGAAATAATCTCCATTAAAAGTCAAATCAATCAAAAACATATTTATGGTGCTATAAAAATATTATTTACTGGGAAGATGTTTCCATTCCTTGATAACCATATATTATTCAATCTGCATGTGCTTGTTAATGTAAAATATAAAAAGTGAGGTCTTTTTTTTTCTTCCTATAGCCTGATCAATATTTGAAGTGGAGAAATCGATGCTGACCGCTTTTGAGCAACACCTACTGGGACACACTGTGAAATTAACTGCTGGTAGGCAATTGCATTCCTTCTCATTTGGCAGGTCAAACCAACAACAAAATGCTAATATAATCCAATGTATGGCACTCTATTCAGTCCATAATATCATGACACATTGATTCATCTATATTTTTATCCCCAAACAACTCTCCTCAAATATCCCTGATGAATACAAAGTAAATTTGTCTATTTTCATTTTGATTAGTTCTCAACCATATGGAGACATGCTCTGGTGTCAAGACAAAATGTTTTTTTTTTTTGTTGCCCTTGGAGAGGTTATGATAGCTTTCTGAAATTGATTTTAGTCTTGACTCCATCTCATTCTTCAATCCTCTTTGTACTTGCACCAGCTTTCATGATCTTTTGTAATCACAATGTATTTTTTTCATGTTCATCTTGAGTCTGATCCTCCTGATATTTGTTCTCAGTGCCGGGTCTAGCTATATGGCTTTTCATAAGAGCTTTTATATCTCATCATGCTGCGATTCAGATTCGGAATCTGTAACAGTGCACTTTACATCAAATCCTCACTTTCTTTGTGAGAAGAAAGTCCCTAGTGACTCTAAGCACAAACTACACCAGTGTCTCATCATTTATGGCCTTTTGCAGGGCTCTGGAACTTCACATCTTAAAATGTCAGATCACGAGGACCTGAATAAAGCCATGGGACACTGGAACGCCTCTGAGAGCTATCAGCTCAACCCAGCCAGTGTCATTGTGTCTGTGGTCTTCTCGCTCATCTTCCTCCTGGGGACCATTGGGAATAGTCTGGTACTGGCTGTGCTCCTCAGAAGTGGGCAGGTTGGGTACAACACCACCAATCTGTTCATCCTCAACCTCAGCGTAGCAGATTTCTTCTTCATCATCTTCTGTGTGCCTTTCCAAGCAACCATCTACTCCCTGGAGGGTTGGGTTTTCGGGTCCTTCATGTGCAAGGTGGTTCACTTCTTCATCAACCTCACCATGTATGCTAGCAGTTTCACCCTGGCCACGGTGTCTGTGGATAGGTGGGTTTCTTCAGCTATAGGATTTTCTTTTTTTTTAGAAAAACCTTCTTAAAACACTTTTCACACTATCACTGGTTTATTTCCTTTAGTTAATATCATGTCCATGTGTACAGTGTATATATGCATACATCACTGGAAAAATTGTCATTGTTTTAATTTCAGTGAGTTTTTGTGTTTAATGGCATTCTATGATGGAAGTGCATGGTGATGGAGGAAATTACATTTATGTATGCATGTATGTATTTATTTATTTATTTCATTCTTTTATTTTATTTTAATTTTTTTTTTAAATAAAACAGCCAATTCCTTTGTCTTGTAAAGGCTAATTTCATAGCTAACATTTTATGAATCCTCATAAAATAAAAGGGGTCCTATTATGCTTTACACACTGTGAAATTAACTGCTGGTAGGCAATTGCATTCCTTCTCATTTGGCAGGTCAAACCAACAACAAAATGCTAATATAATCCAATGTATGGCACTCTATTCAGTCCATAATATCATGACACATTGATTCATCTATATTTTTATCCCCAAACAACTCTCCTCAAATATCCCTGATGAATACAAAGTAAATTTGTCTATTTTCATTTTGATTAGTTCTCAACCATATGGAGACATGCTCTGGTGTCAAGACAAAATGTTTTTTTTTTTTGTTGCCCTTGGAGAGGTTATGATAGCTTTCTGAAATTGATTTTAGTCTTGACTCCATCTCATTCTTCAATCCTCTTTGTACTTGCACCAGCTTTCATGATCTTTTGTAATCACAATGTATTTTTTTCATGTTCATCTTGAGTCTGATCCTCCTGATATTTGTTCTCAGTGCCGGGTCTAGCTATATGGCTTTTCATAAGAGCTTTTATATCTCATCATGCTGCGATTCAGATTCGGAATCTGTAACAGTGCACTTTACATCAAATCCTCACTTTCTTTGTGAGAAGAAAGTCCCTAGTGACTCTAAGCACAAACTACACCAGTGTCTCATCATTTATGGCCTTTTGCAGGGCTCTGGAACTTCACATCTTAAAATGTCAGATCACGAGGACCTGAATAAAGCCATGGGACACTGGAACGCCTCTGAGAGCTATCAGCTCAACCCAGCCAGTGTCATTGTGTCTGTGGTCTTCTCGCTCATCTTCCTCCTGGGGACCATTGGGAATAGTCTGGTACTGGCTGTGCTCCTCAGAAGTGGGCAGGTTGGGTACAACACCACCAATCTGTTCATCCTCAACCTCAGCGTAGCCGATTTCTTCTTCATCATCTTCTGTGTGCCTTTCCAAGCAACCATCTACTCCCTGGAGGGTTGGGTTTTCGGGTCCTTCATGTGCAAGGTGGTTCACTTCTTCATCAACCTCACCATGTATGCTAGCAGTTTCACCCTGGCCACGGTGTCTGTGGATAGGTGGGTTTCTTCAGCTATAGGATTTTCTTTTTTTTTAGAAAAACCTTCTTAAAACACTTTTCACACTATCACTGGTTTATTTCCTTTAGTTAATATCATGTCCATGTGTACAGTGTATATATGCATACATCACTGGAAAAATTGTCATTGTTTTAATTTCAGTGAGTTTTTGTGTTTAATGGCATTCTATGATGGAAGTGCATGGTGATGGAGGAAATTACATTTATGTATGCATGTATGTATTTATTTATTTATTTATTTCTTTTATTTTATTTTTTTTTTTTTTTTAAATAAAACAGCCAATTCCTTTGTCTTGTAAAGGCTAATTTCATAGCTAACATTTTATGAATCCTCATAAAATAAAAGGGGTCCTATTATGCTTTTTCACTTTTTGAATTTTAGTCAGTGTGCAGTGTGTATGTTTGGGCCTAAAAAAGATCTACAACGTTACAAATCTCAAAGTTCACTCCAAAGAGAGATATTTTGTTTTTTAAAAATCCCTCTTCAAGAACTACAATGAACGGCTCATTTGGACTACAGCGTTGTTTTCCGGGGTATTGTGATGTCACAAAGCGGCCCATTAGAATATCATTAAAATAATTCCCGCCTATGGAAATTTTGAATGGTTGGGGGTGGGCAGGGGCAAGGTCGTGGTTAGATCGCTTGGTTGAGTGCATCAGACAAGACGATGACGAAGAAGAAGTGCTGCTGCAGAGTTAGTGCATCAGAGAAAATGAAGAAGAAGAAGAGCTGCTGTAGCGACAAGTTTTCGCCATGTCGAAGAAATGCTGTTTTTTTCTTCATAAATTGCTGACAGTACAATACTGGACAATGATGTAATCTGCAGAATTTACAGTTCAATTATGAGACTATTGTATAAATAAATTCAACTGTATAACAGTTTCACTGCAGTTCATGTTATAATGTTAGAATCAAAGCACAATAAACATATTACATTGCACTTATCTGTACATAGTAAATGCACTTATTTTTCAATATTTTTCAATCATTTTCAATAATGTTACCACTCTAATATGTCTTGCAATATCCGTGCGTGCAAAGGTTCTGCGCGATCCTCTTGTTCAATATTCTCGGGTCTGAATCCGGCTCAAATTGATATGGCAATATTGACGCCATCCTTAACTATACCGGAGCAGACGGAACTTGCTGCTTTGGCAAGGGGTGGGCAGTACTGAAATACTGTCTAAGCTGTTTGCCAATCACAACAGGCTGAGACAGCTAACCAATCACAACACATTTCGTTTTTCGGAAGGCGGGCCTTCATCAAACCCGGAACTAATTGAGCCGTTTGTGCCAGGCTGGGGAGAAAGGTATTGTAATAATGTAAATTATGTGAAAAATAATGTGTTTTTTGAAACACCAAGCATGAGAGCATGTTCTACACCCCCAAAACAAAATCAAGACTTTGTAAAAGAGCTTAATAAGACCCCTTTAATATTTTCACACTATGCATAATTTGAAAAATAGTTTGGAAATGACACAATAATATTCTGTTCTCAGGTGATATTTACCTTTATTTATTTATTTGTTTTTGTCACAGCTCATATTTCATCTTCACTGTTTTCAGACTTGACAAAACAAGTACACTAACTTCTGAAAAAAGTGCAAAATGTATTAGGTGCAAAATTTCCCAGTGCAGATAATGTGACACCTATGGGAGAATAATTAAAATGTTCACACAATAGACATAGAAATGGTTTATCTTTATTTCATTCTTTGTTTAGAATATGATTTTGAACACATAATCATTCATATTTTTATGCATGATTTTCAAAGTATAAAATGATAAGACATGATCGCAGACAAAGGTAAAACACTAAAATGTATATATAAAAGGTATATAAAAGTGTGATATTCATATAACAATCAGAAGTCAATTAAAATCTATTAGTTAATAAATGTTGTCAACCCTTGGGACATAAAAGTTAAAGATATTTAAAGACAACCAGGGCATGCTGATTATAATATTAATTCTATCAAGTAAACTTAACTCTAGGCATAATAACATCATGAAATGGATCGCCTGAATACAAGGAAGTCTTGCAAATTGCATTGGCAAAGGTTGGAGTTTAACTGCAAAAATGTCAGTGGACTTATCGCCAAAGACCCACTTCACTAATAAAACAACTCCAAAAACCTGCAGCCCATTATTCCTGTCTTCACAACGAAACAGTGAAAAAATAAGCTTTAGTAGCACCCACCTGTATCCACTTACTGGTGTGTTAGCTAAAATTATGTAACATTAAGGTCGAACTAAAGCACCAGTGACAAGTGGGACTTCAGAGCTGACCCGGAGACAGCTGAATGGGAGAGCCAGCCAGTCTTTTTGCTGGAATAATGGCATAAATGTAACAAGGCGACCTATATGCCCCAGTATAATATGTTACTCTCAGCCTGTGCAACAGACCCACTGCCCTCCATCCACCCTGAAAGTGTTTACCTTTTGAAAAAAACTTGTTAATTTGACAGTTTCCTGCTCTGTGAAAAATGGTTCAGGGCTCAGCGGAGGCTGAGAACCCCCATTGGCAATTACCTCACCTTTAGGTAGAAAACAACTTGTGCACTGAAACACACTGGCTATATTGATCATATGGCGTTTCGGGTCAAACTCAATTTCAGAAAGCACCACTCAGCTTCTGATGAACATTTCCTGTGGTTCTTTTTATACATGACTAAAGATTACTATACATGATTATACTGTGACAATTTTTCACAGCTCCATTTGATCGGTGGGTTTCTTCTTTTGCAGGTATCTGGCCATCCGTTACCCTCTGCGCTCCAGAGAATTGAGAACACCGTGTAATGCCGTAGTCGCGATGGTGGTCATCTGGGGCCTGTCGCTTGTTTTCGCCGGGCCTTATTTGAGTTACTACGACCTCATTGATTTCGAAAACAGCAATGTGTGCGTGCCAGGGTGGGAAGAGCATAACCGGAAGGTTCTGGACACCTGCACCTTTGTTTTTGGCTATGTTATTCCTGTGCTCATCGTGAGCTTGTCCTACACACGCACCATCAAGTACCTGTGGACCGCGGTGGATCCTCTCGATGGAATGTCGGAGTCGAAGCGAGCCAAGCGCAAGGTCACCAAGATGATCATCATAGTCACAGTGCTCTTTTGCATCTGCTGGCTACCGTACCACGTGGTCATTTTGTGCTACCTCTATGGAGATTTTCCCTTCAATCAGACCACCTACGCCTTCAGGCTGCTGTCCCACTGTATGGCCTACGCCAACTCTTGCCTCAACCCTATCGTTTACGCCCTGGTGTCCAAACACTTTCGCAAGGGCTTCAAGAAGGTCTTCAGCTGCATCCTCAGCAAAAAGGGACGAAATAAGGTACACGTGGTCCATGTGGCCAACACTGTCCCTGTGATATTCCTCTTGGACCAGCATGATATTTTACTATATGCAAATAAATAACCCCAGTGCATTTAGCAGTAGTCTGAGTAACCTTGAACCGCACCCTTTGGGGGATGTTTCGTACTAGATCAAAACTGTATTTTCTCCTGGAGGCTCAAATAAGAGAGCTGCAGCATTAAGTGAAAATTAAAGTTTAATGTCTTCCATTGAAAAACAACTTGAAGCCAAAGGAATGAGGCAAGTACTGACACATGCACCATAAAAGACAATCAGTTGAGATGCAATTCTGAAGTTATTACAACAAGAAAAAACAAGGTGAAAACAAATCATTTCATTTTGTTTCTTAGCTTTTAGAGGCAATCTTTAAAAACATCCTCCATCTTATTCAAGGCAGACTTTTTAAACTTCATAAATTATAATGTTTCAACACTTGGAGAAGCTAAGTAAGTAAGTAAACATTACAAACCAGCCACTATTTTCTACCAGATGCACTGAGTTTATGTTTAGTAATCATGGACATGGGCTATTTATTCGTATTACACCCTTTGCTTTTTGAAAATATAACAGCAAAATGTTGCCCAGTGACAGCCCCAAAACATTACTGCTCTTGAGGAATGGGCCAAAATACCAGCAACAGTGTGTGACAACCTTGTGAAGACTTACAGAAAACGTTTGACGTCTGTCATTGCCAACAAAGGGTATATTATAACAAAGTATTGAGATGAAATTTTGTTATTGACCAAATACTTATTTTCCACCATAATTTGCAAATAAATTCTTTAAAAATCCTACAATGTGATTTTCTGGATTTTTTTTCTCATTTTGTCTCTCATAGTTGAGGTATACCTATGATGAAAATTACAGGCCTCTCTCATCTTTTTAAGTGGGAGAACTTGCATAATTGGTGGCTGACTAAATACTTTTTTTCCCCACTGTAAATATGGAACAAATTTAAAAAGCTTCAATATTACAATATGCACTCACCAGTAATGCAACATTAAGAAAATGAAGCCTCAATTGGCTTGTTCTGCCTATTAGTCGTTGATGGCAAATTCGAAAGCTTCCGTGCACAATTAAGTATCCGCTGCCATTTCTGCATATTTACAGCAGTTAGTTCATCCAAGGATATTTATTGAACCTCTCAGTGGTCTTACAGATCATTCATAATTTCTGCTAAGCCACAGAATTAAAGGGGTCATATGACGTTGCTAAAAGAACATTATGTTGTGTATTTGGTGTAATGCAATGTGTTTATGCGGTTTAAGGTTAAAAAAACATTATTTTCCACATAATGTACATTATTGTTACTCCTCTATGCCCCACCTTTCTGAAACATGTCGACTTTTACAAAGCTACAGCGTGAAGTTGATTTCCTCAGCGAACAGCACGGATCAGCTCTAGGCATGACGAAGCGGATATCGTCCTCTTTTGGAAGGCCAAACAAAGTAGTTTCGCTTTCGCAACGAAACACACAGCACCTTCACGACATGGCGGCGGCAGCAACAATACTACAGCGAGAATAAAAGTTACGCCTTCTTTCTTTGCGTGAATATTTGGGCGGCGTTATGCAAATCTTCCCAGATAGTGACGTACGTATGTGGGGGCGTGTTAGAACGAGCCGTTTTCGGTAGGTGTGGCTGACTCTTGGTGTGGTGTGGCTGGATTTGAGACTTTAGTCCACTCCAAAGAGAAAGGAAAAAATTTTATCGCATCATATGACCCCTTTAAGAGAACATTTCCTAACGTTTGACGTGATCTGACCATATGAACATTTTTCTTTGTTCTCACAGAAAATAAATAATTTTCATCTTCACTCAGAGATGGATTTTTGCCAGTTACTAGATCAACGGGAAGCTCAATACATTTACCTGTCAGTTTCGGTATATTCCTCTTAGCACTCCACTGCTGCCTGAGAAAACACCAATAATTATATGATAGCATATTTAATCAGTCTACTTCATGTCGTGACATGATTTGTGCTGGGTCTATATCAAAAATAGACCTTTTTCTGAAGGGTACATTGAAAGGAACACTTAACCTTTAGTAACCATTTTAAGGCGAGACACTGCAGGTGAATAGGGTCAAAATATTAACTAATAGTTATCACCTTACTTACCCAGTTGTTTGATTACATTGATAACTGCAAAACAAATTTGTATTACAAGTTTTCTAAAATGTTATGTTTAAATATGCAAATTAGGCATTATTTAAAGGAGCAATAGATGATTGTCTTCAGAAACATTTTTTGTTATGCTGGTTGAAAGTCTCTTCACATCCCGATAGCAATCATTAAGTTAAGTGGTCTAAATGTATTTGTCTGTATTTATATATTCTGTGGAAGGCGTAGGATCAAGAAATGTTCGTCCAATCAAAACATTCGGTCCGAGCATTTTAATATGCTTTCCTACCTGCCTGTCAACGTATGTATTAGCATACCTCTGCACACCCTGTTCGCGCAGACAGGATACGTCATCAGCGCATTCACGCACGCTGTGCAGACAGAGTGAGAATGGCAGACAAACGTCAACAACCCGATCTTCCTTACTGGTATTGTAGTACTTTTAAAGTTTTCTCACCGGTGAATGACACATGATGTAGCCCAGCGGTTAATCCTGTCCTCGCGCCAGCTCGTTAGAAGTGAGCTACGTGCATGAACTGTGTTCCGATCTATATGATCCCTATACAGTGTGCATTGCTCCCTACTCCCTGAGCGGGGGAAATCCGTTGAAGTTTACTTCACTTCAGAACATGGGCTTTGGACGGCGATTGCAGGGAGGGTGGGACCTTCGCTTTCAGTGCTATCAGGCTAAAGTTAGCATTTTCCAAGGTCTCCTACTGCACCTTTAATGAAATATGTGCTAATTTGCATAAATTTCTAGTACAAAAATCTGAACACTGGATGAAGTCAGTTTCAAAATTCTTGTTTAATTTTTTTGACATATTAGAGTCAAATGTTTTAACAGAGGGAATTTTTTCTCTTTTTGTCACTCCATAATTCAGAAAAATATTTTTTGAGAAAACGGCCTTTACAAATATGTATTGTAATTGAAATCTATTGACACAAATAGATAAAGTGCTATAAAATAAGCACTTAACAGTGTCTTTTGGATGTTTTGTTTCCACTAGTCTTTATCAACACTTTATGAAAAGCCAAAAAGCCCAAAATCTCAAAATTGACAGGTGCATGAAAAAATTGTGTTTTTGTCTGCAGTGTCTCCCCTTAATATTTCTGAACAGTCTCAAAAAGTATCCAAACACTTCAGTGTTCCTCATAACTTAATTATATCTGCTGTGAATTTCAGTTTCATTGATTGCGGCTTATTTAACAGTGTACATCACAAAAAAACAACAACAAAAAACGGTTGGATGTAAACACACAAACTTCATAATAACACTCATTTTTGGTCTATTAGCAGCAAATTAACAGAATATCCAGCAGGAAATTGAGGGAGATATGTATTACAAAGAGAAAAGCTCATACTGTTGTTTGTGTACTGTACAGCAGTGAATTGTGGAATTATGCTGTAGACTTTGATAATTGAGATGGTTCATGAACTTTAGATTGGGTAGATGCCAGATTTAATGAAATGTGATGTGAATGAAAATGAGGCTCTGAGGGATGGTCTGTGCAATTGATTGTACTGTACAGTGCTAATATCTTATAAACAATTAGTTCTGATCCTCATATTTGATTGGCTGAAAGAAGTCAAGAGTGCTGATATACAGTCAGTCTGTGCATTAGTGGTGGGGATTTTTCGGTGAATCTTTCTGCATGTTACATGGCTACTCCAGTAGATGGCAACAAGTATATGAGTGACTGAGCAACTTTATGAGTGAACCATTTGAACCATTAATTCAAATACACTGATTCATACAGTGACTGTTATAATGAGTGAGTCCTTGTATCATTCGTTCAACCGATTCGTTCAAAAGCACAGATTCATTCGAAATAACTATGACTCAGTCATGGAATCATTCACACAACCGATTCATTTAAAAATAAAGATTCATTTCGAAACAAATTAACTATGAGTCAGTCAAGGAATCCTTCATTCAACAGATTTGTAAAAAAAAAACAGATTAAATCAGAAACAAAATAACTATGAGTCAGTCATGAAGTCATTCACTCAAACGATTTATTTAAAAACAAAGACTCTTTTGGAATGAAATAACTATGAGTCAATCATGGAATCATTCACTCAACAGATTCATTTACAAATACCGATTAATTTAGGAACGAAACACAGCTACTTTGTGATGTTTGGTTTTTATTCCACTTTGACATTGTTTGGAATTTCTATTGTTGCAGAAAAAAAACAGACTAATTAACTGGCAGTATTGCATCTAATATGTAAATTCCTCTATATCAAATTATTGTTTATCGAACTGCTGTGTGAAGCAAAACTCAAAATCGTGCAGCTCTGTCTGTCCCTCACAGTCTCTTTTCACTCACATCAAATTAAACATGACGTCAAACCTCACTATGGTCCATCGTTCTCCACAGTCATGTGATCAAGAAACCACTGAGGTCATTTGCATATTTGGCTCAAGGGACACTTAGTTGAGATTCTTAATTAGACAGCCAAGCCTGACATAGCTTCTTCATTCAAGTGTAATTATTTGCTGAAGACAATAGCAATAACAAGATTTCAGGGCCATAAACAGCAGCTCAAGTAGTACAAGTAAGAGTCAGTTATGAATGATTTTAACTTATATAAAGCAATTTTGTGGGTTGTGGGTGCAGATGGACGTGTGGGTGTTAAGAGAGTAAATTACCTTGTGCTCTTCCTGCCACTCTGAAATCAATAACAAGAGCTCAGCTGACTCTTTCTGGAGACCATAATCCATCACACCATAGCATATGCAATAAACATGTTGTCCAAGAACACCCAATAAAATATGTGCTTTAGGGGACTGCTTCTGTTAGGGCCACTTCTATGGATCTGATTATAATGAAAAGGAGCTGAATATCTGGCTGTTTTGCCCATCTTCAGGTGCTTAATGACATTTCCTGAAATGGATGGATAATAACTACTGTGGAAGATTGCTATTTGTATCTA